GCCGCCGCCTCCCGCTCGCGCTGCTCGCGCCGCCCCTTGGCCTCGCGCGCCTTCTCGGCCGCCTTCTCTGCCGCCTCCGCCTCCCTCAGCGCCGCTGCGTGCTCTGTGAGAGCGCGCACGCACCCGGCGTGGTCCGTTTCAGGAGCACTGGCGGCGTCGGCAGTGGCTAGCACCTTGGCCGCCTCCTCCTTGGCCATCTGCAGCGCCGTCATGCCGGCCGCACAACGAGCCTTTGCATCTGCGCCAGCCCGAAGCAGGCGGAGCACGACGGCGGGGTGGCCGCTGTAGGCGGCGAGCATCAGGGCGGTGTAGCCTTTGCTGTCCTGCAGGTTGACCTCAGCGCCGTGCTGCAGCAGCAGGTCGACCACCCGCTCGTGGCCGCTGTAGGCGGCGGAATCCAGCGCGGTGCCGCCGTCGCTCCTCTGCAGGTTGATCTCAGCGCCATGCTGCAGCAACAGCTCGACCACCCGCTCGTTGCCGTTGTCGGCGGCGAGCATCAGCGCGGTGCCGCCGTCGTTCCTCTGCAGGTTGACCTCAGCGCCGCGCCGCAGCAGCAGCTCGACCACCCGCTCGTGGCCGCTGTAGGCGGCGGCCATCAGCGCGGCGAAGCCGTCGCTGTTCTGCAGGTTGATCTCCGCGCCGTGCTGGAGCAGCAGCCCGACCACCCGCTCGTGGCCTTCCTGGGCGGCGAGTATTAGGGCGGTCCAGCCGTTGCTGCTCTGCAGGTTGATCTCCGCGCCGTGCCGAATCAGCATCTCGACCACCCGCTCGTGGCCGTTCTCGGCGGCGAGCATTAGTGCGGTCCAGCCGTTACTGTTCTGCAGGTTGATCTCCGCGCCGTGCCGAAGCAGCAGCTCGACCACCCGCTCGTGGCCGTTGCCGGCGGCGCACATCAGCGCGATTTCGCCGGCGCTGTTCTGCTGGTTGATCTTCGCCCCGTGCCGCAGCAGCAGCTCAGCCACCCGCTCGTGGCCTGGGATGGCGGCGGTCATCAGCAGCGTGAGGCCGCTCACCTTGCCTATCTCGTACGTCGCGTCGGCCCGCCCGCCGCCCTCGAGCCACGCCAGCACCGCCTCCTCCTCGCCTCGCTCAGCCGCTGCCACGACCTCGTCGGAACAGCTCAGGGATCCTGCGCCGCTGCTAAGCTCGCGTGCCCCAGGGGGGCTGCTGCCAAGCACCTGATCACTCACCATCGCTGGGTTCCGGCTCTTTACGCACTCTTCACACAGGGGCTCTCACAGCAGACTGTGAGAGCCCCAAGCAAAGCCGCCCTGCAGCTCGTTGGCAGTCCTCGTTTTCGACTTTGGCCGCCCCGCGTCGGCCAGGTGCGTGCTAGCCGCAAATAACGCTTTTTGGCCAGCGCCAGGTCTCATCGCGACACACGCGACACGTATACACAAACAAACAAGCCGACTCCCCACCCAGCCTGTCAGCTCACCACCTCGCCTTCCCTGCCGCTCTCCCGGCCCAGGAGGCGTGTGGATGTGTCCCAAACCGCACTTATCTTGGGTGATGAAGCTCACTATGGCTCATACCACGGCTCTTCCGGCCTCATCCACACGTGTTTCTCACTCTCACGCACCGCCGGCACGCACTTGAGCGAGTGACGGGTAATCGTGGCCGTGGCCAAGAAAATCAAAATATTAAGCTCTCTGTTTGGACCACGGCGAAAAACTCGACGGTTTTGGGCGTTTCAGAGCACGCTGAATCGATTGGCTAAGCTAGCACTCTCCCTCTCCCTTTCCTTTCATAATTATTGACTCAAAACTCGATGATCGCGCGACTTTGGAGAAGTGCTAGCTTAGCCAAAACGTTCCTCTCGAAAAATTGACTTAGGGAGCCGCGCCATAGCCCGCCGCGGATACCGCGAAAAAAATCGGCCAGACCAGGGATTTGATCTTGGGTCCGTTGTGCTTATGAGAGGGAGAGAGAGATTCTCTGGAGATTTTCGGAATTATACTATCTGACTCCTGCGTGCTCAGCGGGTCGGCGACGTTCACCTCCGGGCCGGCAGCGCGCGCAGCGCCACGGAACAGGCCTCCGCGGCCGCGTCCACGGCCGCGTGGAGCGACCGCACACGTTGTGAACATGTTCTCGAGGTTCTCGAGGTGGATATCCTTTGGCCGCGTTGGATGAACATGTCGGCTTTAGTAGAACGAGGCGGCGCCGAGGCGCCGTTCACAGCGTTCGCGTGTCGCGCGTGCCCGCCGGCGGCCGGCGGGGCGGGCCGGCGGGGCGGGCTAGGATGCGAAAGGCATCCAACTGCCATTGCAGGATTGTCGACCCACCGAGCATCGTCGAGAAGTTGTTTTGTTTGATCGACGCGAGAGAGAGATAAAATGAAAAATACCGGATCAGGGGCGGAACAGGGTCTGGAAATTCCCTAGGTGCCGCCGCCGCTGACCCTGTTCGAGCACGGTCGGAAAAGGTCAACACCGACCTGATCCGACCCTGTTAGGTTTGAACAAGGTCGGAACACGGTCGAAAATTTCTCGGAGCAATCATGCTGCCCATTTTGGCGCTGGCGGTTTTCGTGCCGCCGCCGCCGCTGTGCCAGCGAGCACTCCTTACTCACCGAGCAGTGCGCGCCGAAATCAAACTGTCTCTTATCGAACAGACGAAGACCGGCGGATTTGACCTCTGGAATGCCCTCGCTGAACCATTCGCCGAGGCTCGCCACGGCCTTCTCCGCCGCCAACACCCTGACGCGCACTCGCCGCCACTGCTCGCCGCCACCTGCTCGCCGCCACTGCTCGCTGCCACTGCTCGCCGCCGCCACCACCGACTTCGCCGCAGCCTCCACCGCCGCGACCGCCACCGAGATCAGCGCGCCCGAGATCAGCGTGCCCCGCGCGAGACTCACTGCGCCGCAGGCTCGCCGCCGACTGACTGCCCGGCCCCTCTCAGGCCGCGGGCGTGGAGTTTGAGGCGGCTCGCGCAGAGGTAGTGGCAGCGCCCGCCGAGGAGCGGCCGAGATGACGGGAGAGGGATGCCTCGCACAGGCGGCGGGCATGATGAACCGCGGTGCGAGCGAGTTCGAGAAGGCGCCCGGCCGCTTAGTTCGTTGTTTAGTGAGAGGCGAAGACACTGTCTTGCCAGCGACCGGACACCAACGCGGTATGGGTGGACGCGAGACAAAGGGATGACGGCACCGCGCTGGCAGCGACACACAGACACACAGACACAAGACACTCAATGAGCTGGGCTGCCACACACCCGCCGCGCCGCCGCCACCCCTCGACGAGGAGAGGTAGAGACAGAGAGGTGAAGGACAGCCAGCGGCTCGGACTGGACACCATCGCGGTATGGGTGGACGCGACACAAAGGGATGACGGCAATCTGGAGCGACACACAGACTCACAAGACACTCACTCAGCCATCCTCGAGCCGACCGCCCCCCGTGTGTTCACACCTCTGGGCTTTGAACAGGCGCTCATCGACCTCGAGCAGTTCACAGCGCTGATGGCGTCGCTGGGCGACGATGCGAGACCCCGCCCCACCCCTCCCCTCCCCTCCCCTCCGCCTCGCCACCGCCTCCGCCTCCGCCTCCGCCTC